AGAGGTGGCCAAGGGCTTAGAGCCGATGGCAAACAAGCACTCGACAAGCGTACTGCAGGTTCGCGCAGCCGCGATAGCATCGGCGTGGGCCTCTCTGACACATGAAGATCGGTCAACCTTGAACGATCGCAATTTGCCCATTACCGATCATGCAAATCGTTCGACATCGGAAATTCTGGGCCACTGGCAGCATTCAGCCTCGAAGGCCCGATCCCAAGGCGCCACCGCGGTAACCCGGAACGAACCTACCGCAACCAATCATTCGACGGATTGCCGTTTCAATCCGTGGGCCCCGAAATCTCCACCCATCCCGGGGGGGGGGGGGGGGGGGGGGGCAATCTTCGAGGGCGTTCAAGGGGCGTCCCAAACCAACAGCGGCCGCTGTTGGGCAAGCGGCCTTCTGTCTCAAACGGACAGAGGCCGCGGCGGCGCGGGCAGCGCGTCCTGCTCAAAAGGAGCAGGAGCTGCTGTTGGGCACCGTACCCCTTCTTTCCGTACCCAGTCCGTTCGTGCCGAGAGGGGGCTCTTCCTCCAGCGCGCGCACGCCATGTGGAACAGATCGGCTGTGGGCGTCGCCGGCACCCCGCTTTGCCGCGGCTGGACGCCTGGACGCCTCCAGCGCCCTCGTCGTCACGGCCGGGTCGCCCGCGAGAAATTCACCTCGAGACGCACACCTGGAGAGGTCCAGGGGCCGATTTCTGAGGGAGGGGACGTGTCTCCCTCCCGTTCGTCCGGAGGCTTCCCTCGGCGTGTTGCCAAGGTCGGCCCTCCAGACGTCCCCTTCGGGAGCCACGGCAGGAAAAGACGAGGCGCAGGAGTCCTGTCATCGGGAACTGGAGGGATCCTCCCACAAGAGAAAAGAGAGACCCCTCCGCCGATCAGGCTCCACTCTACATAATCATAACCCTGTGCAGCTCATGCAAGTCGCAATGGCCGATCTTCACTGGCGAGTGCCCCTATCTAACCTCTGAAAGCACAGTACCCGTAGCCCGTGCTCGCGATTTCTGTAATCCATTCGCACCTCTTTTGTTTATTGCATTTCCTTTTGTTCATAATTCTAGCGCACATTTCACGGTCGTCGTCCGAGATTATCTCTACGTTGGCCTTCACACTGTCATGGCCAGTCATGTCCGTAGTGGCTTGGCCAACTGCCTGCAGCGAAGTATCGCCATGAGTATCAGTTGAATATGTATCAGTCTTGAGCGTGCCTGCACTGCACCAAAATTCAATGAAGATCAAGATGAAGAAGCGGCAGAACATCATGTTTGACTGCAGCCCTTGAGGTGCGTGAAATACCCAGACGAATAGTGTTGGAATGGTCAGCGGACTAGCGCCACTGGCCAATCTGCGCCAAAAAGGGATACGGAACTGTTGACACACTTATCTCGCGACGGACGTGACAACATCGTATGTGTAAGCTTAAACATAGCTGTATACATATGTACACACCTGCTTACACATGTACATACATGTGTATACATACACATGGGTACACATGTAGTTTTACGTAATTATGTCTCCCCACAGTGCCACAAGCACTGAGCGGAGTGGTCGCAGGTCCGGCCCAGTTCTCTGTGTTCAGAGGTAAGCTGAGGTCCCTGCAAGAAATGTGTTCTGTGATGTACGCGAACTCGCCTTGTCGAGCTTACGAGCGCCCAAGGCGGCTCAAGAGACCAAGTCCAACCAAGAGAGCCCACGTGGCCCCGTAGACGGGCCCACGAGGCTCCTAAGAGGCCTCCAAAGAGGGGCCCAAGAGGGGAACCTCGAATTGCAATTTCTCTTCAGCCCAAAATGGCCCCCGAGATCCCCGGGAGGTTCTCAAGAAGCCTCCAAGAGGCTCCTGAAGGCCCGCAAGAGGCCCCAAAGAGTCTTAAAGAGGCCTGAAAGAGGCATCACAAGATACCCGAAGAGGTGTTTGACAGCCATCTGATCAGCGACACTGGCACGTTGGCATGGGCCGAGAGCCATTCGTGCATATGTGTGCTTCCCGATGTGTATGTTTCATGCATTTGCGCCACCGTGCCGCACAAGTTGGAGTGACCTCAGGTCCTTGGCCTATTCCCTGAAGCATCAGTTCTCAATCCTGAGGTTGATTTAAGCGGCCCGGACTCAAAATTCTCACACCTCTGGGGCTGGTCGCGTGGCTCCTGGGGCTCCCAACGGTACCTCGCTTGATTTGTTCGGCCCCAAGACAACCTGAAGACCGGCCGAAAGGGCCCCAAGAGGCGACCAAGAAGGTCCGGGGGGCCCCAATCGCCACACGATCGATCGGTCCAAGACGCCCAGAATGCTCCCAACACTGCCCACGATGCCCCCAGTACGCCACAAGAGGCTTCGAGGCCTCCCAAAAGGGCCGAAAGAGGCAAACATCAGTGATGCCCAGCCGGTGTTTGAAGAATTTTCGGCCGTTATCGCCCTTTCGGCGCCCCGACGCTCCAAGACGGGGTCAGAGGCTCCCAAGATCGCCTCAAGATGGCCTAAGAGGCCTGCAAGAGGGCCCCAAGACCGCCCAAGAGGACCCCAAGACGGACCAAGAGGCCTCCAAGAAACCCCAGAGGCCCCCGAGACGACTCCAAGAGGGGGCCCAGACCTTTCAAGCCATCGGCCCCGAGAGGCCCCCAGGAGGCCCCCAAGAGGCTCCCAAGAGGCCCCCAGGAGGCCCCCAAGAGGCCCCAAGAGGCCCCCAAGAGGCCCCATATTCCCACGAACATCCAAGAGGCCTCTCACTCACAACCGAGACACCGTAGCGGGGTGGGCCGAAGGCCACGTTATACATGTGTATTTATAAGATACATGCATACGCACATACATCTTCGCCACCGTGCCTCTGGCACGAAGTTGATTGAACGCCGCAAGGCTCACGCAGCACTGAGAGGGCTGTGCTGCTGCTGCAGCCAATCGCTTCCAGAACGTTCCCAGGGCCCGCC